CAAATGATAGTTGTTTTTACACTGAAAAATATACATGCAAGATGGACAGCTGTGAATGAAGTATGAGTAGTCAAACGGCTGAGGTTCCCTGAAAAAAATACATAACTGGGGTTCCCTTCTTTCAAATTTATTGCAATCTCATCAAACACATGTCATTCATATTGCACCATGTGTGCCTTTTAAAACTTGCTTTTTGTACCTTCATTAAGAAATAATTAATTGTGCCCCTAAGAATCCAATTTCAGTTACTTTCCTCCCAAAAAGCTGACATATGACTCAAAATCAAATTGCCATAAAGTTATTGCTGCATCTTTCTTTTTTTAACATAAAAGGTCAATCATATGGAAACTGGAGTGTTTTGGGGCCTGTTCACATCATGTATTCATCCAGGGTCAACCCTGTATTTATAGGGTGAAGGGAGGTGGAATGTGTGACTTGTGGTTGTCAATGTTGTCACTGATGTTTTATATGCAGTTCCATTTTAAAGTACTGTCATCATCCTGGAAGCTGTTGTTATTGCATGTAGAGTGTTCACACAGATGTCCCTAGCTCACACAACCACTTTTACTACTCATTTATGAGCCCTCCTTACAAAACACCACAAGGAGATGGAGGAGAGGTTGGCATGACATGATAACGACAAATGTGGGAAGGTCTTCAAAGATAAGGATTCCCGAATAACATGGCATGTTTTCCATACAAATGCATCTAATTAATAATATCAATGTGTGATCCTAGGCAACCCATTCCTCTTCATCTGCTTTTAACTGCAGAAGGACAAATAAGGACTTGCACCACCATACCTAAGGGCATAATTCTATGCCTGACAAGTGAGGTTGAGATAATCTACTTTACTCTCTAAAATTTGAACTCTACTTTGATACCATACAGTAAGCACTTACTATAGGAAAGCTTAGCTTAGGGTTGTACAAGTCTTTTTTAAAATCCCAAACAGCCAAAAAACATCACGAGCGATCTACAATGTGATCTGCCACGTTGTACAGTAGATCACTGGTGCAATTGCTTCATCTACAATTGCTGTTGAACTGCTCACACTGTGCAGATGTGTTTACCTGGAATCATGGCCAGAGCCAGTTCTAAGGTCAAATCAGCAACATAAACATTGGCATTGCATTGTGAGGAGATGACTATACGCCTTCTCATTCTGGGACTGCCAAGTTATAAAATCGGGGCATTAGAACTTATCTTGCTTTCCCTTGGGCATACTTTACATTACATACCTTTAGTCATGATAACAGCTTCAACTTCCGCATATAAATACAAACAAATACTATATAAGATTCACTTCCTACTGTCATGCAATACTGGAACTTGCCTGCATTCTCAACATGCCTCTAAAACATTAAGACAAATTTCTGAGAACCAGAAATATCTGGTTATAATGGCAATACAAAAAGTCTTGTGACAAACTGACTGAGTAATTAGTTTATTGTGGAATGAGCTTTCATAAGGATGGGAGGGAGAAGGCTATGCACTAGCTGTATGGAAATGAAAACAAAACAGGAATAGGGGACCTGTGGCCCTCTAGAAGTTGTTGGCTATGTTGACTGGGGATTATAGGAGTCAGAGTCCAACAACTTCTGGAGTGCAGCTTAAAGTTGCAGAAGGTTCAATAGTGCTTTTAATGTTTCGTGATGATTTTATATTGCTATAGACAGCTCTGATACTGCATGAGGTGTGTGTGTGTGTGTGTGATGTACTCCTATTCCCCAATCCTAAACATGATAATTCATCAGAAAAACAGATTGAGTTCAGTGTGATTTAACTCTGACTAAGAAAGTGCAGTGTGATCCTGTACATGTTTACTCAGAAGTAAGCTCAATTAAATTCAATGGCATGTACTCTCAATTAGCATGGGTCTGCAGAGATAAGGCACTCCTGCCATTGGCAGCCTACTTCTGGAAAGGAGTGTAGCATTTGAAAGATGATCAAGGCACAAATATATACTGTAGTCATTAAGTCTGGCAGGTCTTGCAGTGCTATTAAGATAATATAAAGTGACACTTCATTTCTTAGTATTACTGAGGATAGGGGTGTCCTGAGGTATAGATGTACTGCAGAATTATGGTGACATTTCCCTTCCTACCTTTCAAAACAGAAAGAAAATATTTTCTTTTCCTGGATACTTGTGTCCATATCATCAAGTGATGTAATTCACACTGGCTTCATGAAAGTTAGCAGAGCCCAGTCGAACAGGAAGTCTGTTTATGGAACGGGAGGGGGGAGCTTTTGGTCTTTCACATTTATAATTCAGCTTCAATAAGCCAAGCTACGCATTATAATTTTTAAACCTATTGTTTACAAGCCATTAAGTAATTTTTTTGTTTGAAATACAACATATGCTCCCTCTACAGCTTTCTAAATCACATGATACTTGGACAGTCCAAAGATTAAGGTCCATCCTGTTCATAATAAGTAACAAACAGTAGAATCGTTAGTCACTAAATTAAAAAAACAAGTTTATGGAAGTTGAGAATCAGAGTCAGCCTCATCACAAATGAAAAGGAAGGAAGAAAGCAAGTTCTGCATACCACTTTATACTATTCTACTTGAGGTTAGCTCAGTGAGTCTCAAACCTCATTGAAGGGGGTGGATGGGACATTGGGAGAAAATATACAGTATGTTAAGCTGCAGGGAAGGTTCTAGAGGTAGATGGCACCAATCAAACCCTGTGTAGAATAAATCCTCCCACCAATGAGGTGATTTCAGGTGGTCACCTCCCCTTCTGCTCCATTATTCCAAAGTGACTCGAGCATAAAACATTCCTAAAGAGCTGCATTCATATATTTTTTCCCACATGACTTGAGATGGGAGTCAGAGTTAACCTGTCATACTGTTAGTACAGGTTTACTTCTCCAATTCATTGACCCTTCAACTCAGTAACAGCCCCTGTGCTCACAAGTGTGTGCAGATACCATTGCATTCTCAACCACAGACAGAGTTATTGATGCTGGATTGGGGAGTGACAGTAGGTAATGTAAGTTCTAAGAACTGGAGAAAACTAGGTTAGATGCTTCCACTTTTGATCCGAAACATTGTGTGCTAGGTCAAAAATGTATCATGCATCCCTGAAGATAATATGTATCTGCTTGACTGCCCCAAGACTGTTACAAAATTGAAGCTATTGTATACAACAAATAAAAGCTCATAAAGTAAGGAGGGGCAACATTTATAGTGAAATACATTTCCTTTAAGTTTCTAGTATGCCATTTATGAATTAAGCTAAGCATCCTGATCCTGTACATGCTTTAAGTTCAATGACAGTTGTTTCCTTGTAAAGCCACAATCGTAAGTGGTGGCTGCACACCTACTGAGTAGCTGACCCCTGGTTTCAGTGAAACTATCACTAAATAAACATGTAAACGACCAGACTAGCTGCAAATACGCCCATGACTCCAGCCTTGCCCCTCAATGTCATGCATGTTTACTCATAAGTAAATCACTGTGTTCAAAGGGATTTCCCCACAAAGAAGTAGATGAAGCATTGCGACCTTGATTAATGCTCTTGTTGATTCATGATCAAATCAAAGTTCAGAACAGATTTGTTTCCTCTAAAATGGTTTTTTTAACCCCCCCCCCAGGAGAAACTATATTTTTTATTTATGCAGTTATTTGTTAGGATCAAATGCTAGAATACACCTGTTCCTCTGCTGGAAATAAAATACATAATTCATTATTTACAAATTGGGCCAGGATTAGTATCACACACACAGCTTTTTAAAAGTGTTTGTGGGAGGGGAGGTTATTGTTTTGACTATTTGTGCTTTTATCTTGTGTTTTTATTTTGTGAACTGTCCTGAGATCTTTTGATGAAGAGTGGTATATAAATCAAAGGAATGAATAAAAGAATACAATGCTTTTAGTTCTGCTCAGACAGCAGTCTTGGGGTTTGACCCTTGGTGTCCCTGCCAACACTACAATTCTATGACTTGATGATTCTATGAATCTCAGCACCCTGTAGGTGTCCGAGGCCATATGGACGAAAAATATAGTCACACAAGCACACACAGGAAGGCTGTTGATTCATTGGCATTAGCATGAACTGCTTTGTGTGCAAAGCTGGTTACTAGTGTTACAATCAGTAAGCAGCACAACAACAAATTACAAGGTTAGAACAGCCCAGCGGATAAAAAGTACCAACCCACAAAATGTTTCATGAGGTGCCTTGACCAGAAAGAGCTGTAAATCACGGAGCAACTGACTACCTCCTAGGCTGAGCTAATCCACCAACAGAATCTCCAGCGCTGGCATGTTACCGACTAACGGAATGTTCCGTGTGAAATGAACTGGCTGCTTAATGTTTCTGCTTGAAGTTGTACATATAGCAGATTAGTCCAGCTGTAGTCATGGGTTATTGGTTGCAGCTCTTTTGCACATATGAAGCAAAACTATTCTTCAGCTCTCAAACAGAAAGAAAAAATGCAAGAGTAAACAGGCACCAAAAAAAGTGAGTCATCACTTCCAAGGCAAAAGTTATTTTGCTTTCAGTTACATGAGCTGAATATAAACTATCAGTGTGACAGGTATATCCAGCTTACTGCTTGCAAATATTGCCCACCCTGCCATCCCTCCCCAGCCAGCAGTCCACATTGTATTTTCTTGGAGAAATAACCATAGTCAGGTTTTGGGCTGTTTTTCCGCCCTAGTAATAATAATAAATACTTGATTTTAGATCTGGCTCAGTCGCCCACAAAACTGAGAACCCCACAAATCAAGAAAACGATTTTTGCCCCCAATTTGCTTTGGCTGGCCCTAGGCTCCGGCTTCATTGCCTGCGAGTCGCATGATGCGGAGATCTAGATCTCCAGGCGCCCTTCCAGCTGCCCAATCCCCAAGGCGGCAGCAATGCTGTCCCTTGTACCTGCCCTGCCCCAGCCTGCCTCCTCGACGGACATGACAGCGCAGAAAGCAGAAGCATCCCCTCTGCGCCGGCGACGAGGGACGCGAGAGCCCGCCAACGCCGGCTGTGGGTTTTGTACCTCCTTCACGCTCCCCGTCCGGGACTCTTCGCAGCTGCTCCCCCTTGGCCAGCGCTCCCTGCTCGGCCCCTGCGAGCCACCCTCTGCGGACGACACCCGAACAGCTGCCTCTCTCCCGAATCCCAGGGCTCCGGAGCTGCCAGACGCCTCGGGCTGCTGGCTCCCTGGTTACCGCGGGCAACAATCCCACCCCGGCGACAGGCGTGTACACACGCACTGCTGCACCTAGCAGCAGCCGCGGCCGAGAAAGCTCCGCCTCTTCTCTCCCCCCCCCCCTCGCTTCTGCAAAGCGCGCGGAGCTTCTCCTCAGCCACAGGCGCGGGGGTTTTCTCTGCGCGCGTGAGGGATGGGAAGGCAAGCAGGTGCGTGCGCGTCTACTGGGACGACGAGGGAGGGAGGGAGGGAGGGGGAGCTGACTCGGGGTGCTGCGTTTTGCTCCCCCCCTCCCACCCCGCAGAAGGATGCTGCGTGAGGCTAGTTGTGCGCGCGCGCACGCGGCGCGACTCCATCTGAGGGAGCCACGCAGCGCGCCCGGCTAGCCCGCCATCCCGAGAACGAGGGCGCGCGCCTGTCCTGCTGCGGCGCCGGAGCAGCAGCTGCGAGGGTGTTTGTTGTCAGTGGCGCGTGTGGCCGCGGGTGTCGCTCTCCCGCTTCCCACCCTGGGCAAAAGGACAGGAGGAAGGGCTCCTTCCAGCTCCCTCTCCGTCTCTTTACAAACACACGCACGCGGGGTTGAGGCGCCCAACAGCAGCCGGCCGAGCGCCTTCTGCCAAAGCCGAGCTGCCGCTCTCGGAGAGGGTGGCTGGCGCGCGCGTGCAGCGGGCAGACTCTGGTCTTTCTGCATGGGAGGCCCGCCATTTTTTTCAAGGGCAGATTCCCTCACGTGATGCCCCGACTAGATGCGAGAAAGCGAAGGGAGGCAGGAGCGGCGCCTCGAAGCAGCCCAGCGGCGGCGCTTTTCGCCCAGTTGACGCGCTCTGCCGGCGGCGACGGGGTCTTTTCGCCCGCAACTGGCATTTCTAGGTCGATACTCCGTACAGAAATTGTGTTAAGGGCACTGTAAGGTCATGCGATGTTCATAAGCAACAACCCTCAGCTATGCGTTGTCCTCTTAACATGGAAGCCTTTGAGGGTCTGCTGCTTGACATTGAAGCCACTTAAGCCATTGCTCGTCAGCTGGAAGTGGGCATGGGTATGTCTCTGTAGAACCACGTGGCACTGGAAATAACGTTATTGGGACATGATAGGCTATGGCCACACTCCAGTTTCCTGTGGTTTGCAGGGTTTCCAGTGCGGAGTTGACACATGGACATAAGAAGAGCCTGCTGGATCAGGCCCATGGCCAGTCTGTTCCAGCATCCTGTTGTCATAGTGGCCAACCAGATACCTGGGAAACCTGCAAGCAGGATTTGAGCAAAAGGGCTCCCTCACTTCCTGTGGTTTCCAACTATTCGGAAGTGTTGCTGCCTCTAATTTTTAATCTGTGTTCACACAACATTATTCAAAATGCATATGTAACCTGTACTTTGTTATCAAATGCTACCGCTCAATGCATTGCTTCTCAAACCAGCTTCACACCAGATGGAGTTCATCCCTAATTCATGTCTAGCTATAGAGTGAAGACATCCGTGCCCATCAGTACCCCTGTGTGTATACAAACAGAAACAAGTCTGACACAAATGAAGCCATGCTAATATGAGCAGCTATGGTGGGAAGAGATGTGAAACACACCATACAGAAACAATTTCCCTGTGCTCCAAGTTGGTCATAGGAACACACACATAGGAAGCTTCCATATACCCAGACCACTGGTCCATCTATTACCATATTTTTCTTCCTACTCCCTGTTCCTTAACCAGTCACTGATTGCCCTGAACCCCTGGCCTACCTGGCATTGTCAAGTCCAGGGCTCAGTCCACACAAGCAAAGTTCCAAGGTCAGGAAACACAGTCCAGGGTCAATCCAAGTAGCCAAGTCTGAAGTCCAGCAGTCAGGATACAGTCCAGAGTCAAACCTGAAGCACAGTGCCATAGAGATCCAGGAGCACACACATCAAGGTCCCTCAATATGGGCAGCTGAGCAGACACAGCAACTCAGCTCTGCTTCCCTTTTGTACTTTGCATGCTGATTGCAGCATCTGGGCTTGATGAGGCATGTGACCTTCACTGGTTCCAAGCCTACTCCAGATGAGAAATCACAGGCTTCCTCCCAGAGCTAGCAAGCCCCACCTGGCCAGTTAGTGAGCCGCCCTGTGGGCCCTTGCCTGCCTCAGCCTCCTAGAGTGCCACTCCTGCTGCTCCCTTTGCCTCGGAGCCTGCCATGTTCGTGGGGACAGGGCCCCTTTGGCCCGGCTGCTCTAGTTCTTGTTCGTTGTCCTCTGTCCACTCGCCATCCTCTGTCACCCTGTGAATACTTCCTTCTCCAGCCCCTGCTTGCCCCAGTGTGTCCCAGTCTCAGCCACACCCCTTGCCGGGATCCTCTTCCTCTTCCCTGTCGTCCAGCCAGTTTGTGACACTGATCCATAAAAGTACAGGTACTCTCATCTCAGGGCTGCTAAGTTTGCTTGCTAAGAAGTCTTTGATGAAGGACTTTATCCAAGCATCTCTGTTACATAAGAAAAAATACTTCAGATGTTCTAACAACCAGTGAGTGGTAGTTTTGTTTATTGTTTCTAAGTTCTGTCTTAAAATATCCCTATGTGACTGGTTTTTGATGCTATTTTCACAAATTTATTTAAATTTAATTGATTAAAAGTCAAATTAATCAAATAAAATGATTTGAATAATTTTTTTTGTTTTATGTCTTTATGTCTTTATTTATTTTTATAATATTTTCAATTGCATTTTCTGTTTTATAATTTCAAATAAACATTTTACAAACTTTAAATATCCAATGACTTCCCTTCTTCTCTTTCTGTGGTTTATTTTACATATCCTACATCCCTGCATATTTTACTATAACCATTCAAATCAATTTTCCACTTTTATATCCATCAAAAATTATTTACTCTGTTGAATTTATCTTAATGCTGCCGGCGTTTTCAGCTGTGCAGTTATTTTCCATATACTCAAAATATGTCTTATATTTATTAGCCAATACTAAAAAAGCAGCTGCTCAAAGTGAACTAATTTACAATATGTTGCAGTAAGATATTGTTACATATAAATAGGGCAAAGGTGCAAATCCTTCTAATAACAGAATGTGGAACGAAAAATGTACAATTATGCAGTTATTACAAAGCTTGGAAGTTATCTAAGTGTTAAAGAAGGCAGAATCTTAATATATTTAGACAGAATTTGGCCATGTGTATTGCTATAACAAAGTAAGTTCTTCACAAGATAATACAATGTGTACCAAATTATTACTTTTAATTTGTGAACGATAAGACTGATTTAACCAGTTAACAGTCCAGGTGGTGTCTAGTGGGTTTCATCTCAATTTTGTTTCCCTTGCCTGTTCACCATTCCCCTACTACTTAGGGGAGTCCTCAGATTGAACACCAGTCATGAAATGACCTGCTTATGTTAATAATACTGTTTTTTCTTTCTTTCTCTCTCTCTCTCAATAATGTATTACTTGGCAAGTCAAATCTTCAGAACTCAGTAGACACAATATGCATACTTTTTGTCTAGTATATGCATTATTTTGATCTGCCTTTTCACTTGTGCACTCTGCTAATTTAATATGATCATTTTCGGCTTCTGCTCACAGTCTAGCAATCAACTGAGCACTGCAGAAAGAAAGCTGCAGTATAAGGAGAGGTAAGTGACAGGAAGACATCTAAGTAAGAGCTAAAAATATAACATTAGCCTATTTTCTCTGACTCCTGTTTATAACTTGGAGCCAAAAAAAAGGTTGTGGTTTTTGCATGAACACTAGTTATTGCTTATTGGTATTTGTCATCTTTTGCTATTTCTGACATCGAACCCACTTAGTTCAGTGGGGTTTACTCTACAATTAGGGCACATAGGATTTCAGCCAGAGACTATTTTCTGCACTATGTACAGGTGCATTTGAACCATAGCTCCAATCCATAATCCAGTGAGATGGTGTGCATGCTCACGTCCGTGCTTTTAGAGTTTCCCCAACATTTTACCCCACTTTTCACCCTTAAATGAGCAGCTTCTAAGCAGTTTTAGAGGAAAGACAACAGTGATATGGGGATGAAGCAAGACACATTTTTTCAGATTCCTGTGAACCAACATGCATTTTTATCCACTGGAACAAAAAATAAAAATTAAGGTCATAGATGTCTGCATCAGATTTTTTTTGGATCCTGGGTGATTTTGCACTTGTAAATTTTCAGTCTCTCCAATAGAACCTAATGCACAGCTGCTCACTGAGTCTTTTTTAACTTGATGGCATAGTATAAATACTACAACTCCCTCCATCCAACTTATAGATAGCTGAATTTTTGAGCACACAGAGTACAAGGAATTCTGATTGCTAAAAATAAAGACAGAAAATAGGGCATTAAAAAGCAGTGTCTGAATTCTAGTTATGCCATAGAAATGTATTTATCATAAGAAGTGAAGATTAGTTGCGATAGAAGAAGGCAGGTAGAACACAGAGTAGATAGGATGGAGTCGTATGGCTGTGTGCAATTTACATATCTGAATTATCCTGGGATTGGGGGGGGGGAAGGGGTACGTTGCATTTCTGTGCTGGGGACAAGCTACACATGTCTCAGAATGGAGAGAGATGGAAGTTTCTCCATCAAATACTTCCATCCAGCTAGAATGCTGCTTGCAGAATTGAAGCACGATTAGGGACAAAGAAAGCTGCCTTATACTGAGTCCATCTAGCTTAGTATTCCCTACAGTGATTGGCAGAGGGTCTCCAGGATTTCACTCTCTCCCAACCCTACCTAGAAATGCAAGTGATGGAAATGGAGACCTTCTGGATGGAAAGAAGACGCTCTACCACTGAGCTACAGGCCTTCCAGAAATGCCATGGGAATTCTGTATTTGCCACAAGCAAGAGAGCGTTAGTTGCTCCTCTGCCTTGTTGAAATTGGTGGGGAAAGGTATTTTTGTCTTAATCAGTGCTGGATTTACGTATAAGCTAAATAAGCTAGAGCTTAGGGCCCCACTCTCTTGCCCCCCCCAATATACTTCTTAATTGTGTTTCACTATTACTGTAATATACTTCTTCTTAAATGTATTTCAGTTCAACAATTACTTTCATAAAATACTTATTTTGTTATGTGCAAATGGCTTTAGATACCTATTA